GAGCCCAAGGGGTGCAGAGCACCAGGAATTCCTGCTTTACCCGGCCCAGGGTGCTCGGAAATTTGGCATCTTGCGAGCTCAGCTCAGAGATGCAGAACTCATTCCTTAGACCAGCAAGGAGCTGGGGATAACTCATCTGCATGCTGCAAGTGGCTCCCAGAAAACATTTGCTAAATAATTTAGGAACAAAACCCAGCGATGATAATAATAAAAAATAAAAAAACCAAGAAGTTTGCTCCCAGATGATGTGCAAATACAAAACAGCAATAAGTCTATCAAATGAACTCACCTAGCGCTACTCTCATATTCCCCACCATCCTCCCAATCCTGATTCTCCTCTGATTCAGCAGCTTTCCTCCTTTTGGCATTTCTGGCTGGCAGGGCTGGATGTACTTGGTTAGAATTCAATGCCACGAGGGGGTTTAGTAACTGAAAGCTGCCTTTTTTCTTTTTTTTTCTTTTTTTTCCCTTTTCTTCCCTTGTTTCCCTGCTCTCTTCAGCAGCTCACTGGAGGCAAACAAAAGTTTAGAAGGGTGCCCTGCACCATTGAGGTCTGTCGAGTTTAAACTGCTTCAGTCCTCCTCAGGTTCCACCAGTAAAAGTCAAAAGCCTCTTTTTACATCCTCCAATTAAATTAAAAGAGGAAAAACGAAACTGCTGTTTGAAATCTCTGGGTCAGCTGGAAAAACACGAGAGCAGAGCCCTTGGCAGGGTGCTGTGACATCCAGTGGGAGCCTGTCCCAGGTGCTGTGCAAAAGCAAAATGCTTGAGACAGGTCTGGGCTCTCGTTAAAATCCTTAAATGAAGTAAAGCAAGAAGAGAATGAGAGGAAGAGAAGGAGCACCAAGCTGGAATTCACTTGCAAAGCCAGTGAGAAGGAGAGAATGGGAGCGAGAAAAGGAGCACCAAGCTGGAATTCACTCAAAAACAAGGGAAGGAGGGAATGGCAGCAAAGCCAGGAAGAAGAAAATGAGAGGAAGAAAACGAGCACCAAGAATGGGAGCAAAGCAAGGAAAAAGAGAATGGGAGCAGGAAAAGCAGCACCAAGCTGGAATTCACTTCAAAACAAATGAAGGAGATAATGGGAGCAAAGCAAGGAAGAAGAGAATGAGAGGAAGAAAAGGAGCACCAAGAGTGGGAGCAAAGCAAGGAAAAAGAGAATGGGAGCAGGAAAAGGAGCACCAAGCTGGGATTCACTCGCTGGCCCTCCTCCAAGCCAAGGCTCGCTCTGTGTGTTACTTTTGGGATCAATGTCACACAGGGCCCCTCATCCAGACCCTGCTGTCCATGGAGGCACAGCCACAGCCATGGTCCCTTCTGGAACCATCCCTCCTCCAACACCATCCTCAAACCCAGTGCTCAGAATCACTGCAAAGAGGGGAGAGAAATATTAACAGCCAGGAGACAGATGGTGCCATAATAAAATCCTCTCTCTCTCCCTTTTCTTACTTTTTTCCGTTGCTTTTGCTTTTCAGGACAGCTCCCCCCAAAGCAGATCATGCTTGCACTCCACATGTTCATTTTGAGCCTGCTAGATGATCCAAAGGAAGGGCTGAGAACCTTTCAGAGCTGATGGCACTAATCTGCTGACCTGAGGAAGCTCAAATCAAGAACCAGTTACTAGGAAATAAAGACAAACCATGGCTGCTCTCCAAAAGAGCTCATAAATCTGAACATCTCCTGCTTGCTCTCCTGTAACAGCTCTAATATTTCTTCTGCTTTCACCTTGTGAAGGCTGTTCATTATTGCTTTCACCTCTTAGCCTCTCTCAGGATGTCAGCTCCATCTGCCACCACCTACCTGGGGTGAATCTCAGCGAGCCCAGCTCAGGTGCTCACTTCTCCCTCCTCCTGAATTCTCATACTCGACACGACCCTTCACAACGCACAGAATGCTTTATTTCAATCACCATGCTGCAGTCTCCTCACCTCTTGGCTTCTTTTTCCATCCCCAATCACTCCCTGCTCGCCCTTCATTCCATTCCTACCCCGGAATTACTGACGGTGATACAGAGGGTGATGATGATGCCTCATTTTGCTTAGTAATGGCTTTGCTGAGCACCTCAGCCTCCACTTCAGCTGGCACGTTAGCAACCAGAGAACAAACTCTAATTGTTTTGACACTTCAGCACTTGCCAAGCCTGAGCACAGGTAGGGCTGAGGCTGCAGCACTGGAGGAGCGCAGAATTCCAGCCTTTGTTGACTCGTGCTCGGCTTCTCCCGTACAAATGTTTTCTGAACTCCTTTCATCTTTCCCTCGCTGCTGCTGAGCATGTCATTTCCCATTCCCTGTTATTCAACAGCCTTTATATTCACACGCAGCCCAATTTTCTGCCAATATCATCTTTTCATTTATGTCAACTGGATTACATGTTGCTCCTACCTGCCTCCGAGTCACCGCTCATTTTCTGTGGCAGGTGAAGTTATCTCACAGCACACAGAGCGGGTTTTATTCCACAATTGCATTCCTTTATGCCTCCAAATTGCTCGCCACAGAGCAGGCTGTAATTCTCCTCTGGTGTAAAGCTCATCAGGACAAAACAGAGAGATGGGAGCTGGCACTGAGGGTTCTGGTCAGCTGTTCCTTTCTGCAGGAATCACAGGAGCAGGCAGCGCTGAGGAGGATCCTAACACTTGTGGGATGAATAACCTGTCAGTAGGTGAGGCTTTCTCTCTTGTCACATTAATTAGCAGTCATCTCCTTCCTTTAAACATAATCCTTCCAACACTCCCAGCCTTATTTATTTATATTTTTTTTTTCCCCCTGCAGTTGGGTGTTCTCCCTCCAGGCTCGGGGCTGGCGTCAGTAGATGGCACTGTGACATTCACTCTCCCAGCTCCCTTTTTTTGTTCAGCCCACGAGCAGAGCTTTTGAGTTTTTTACTAAATTTTTTGTCCGTGTGTGTGTGTATTATAATTAGTTTTTGTTTATGCAAGGTTCTGGAGTCCTTCGGGAGCAAACTGTGGAAGCAGGGAGATAATTTGCTTTCCTGCTCTCTGATTGAGGTCAGTTCTTGAGCCAGGAGCAGTCTCTGGGTACCAGCCACTGAGGTGATGCTGAGATTCCTGCAGGAAGGGATTATCCTGCAGATTATTCCTCCGTGCTCGCTCCGAGGCTGGCACCCCAGGGCAATCAAAGTGGGCACGCAGGGGCAGTGCCCTGCGGCAGCTCAGCCCCCTATGCCCAGCTCTTTGTGCCTCCTGGCAGCAGATCCGTGCCGCTGTCCTTGGGACAGCACTCTGTGCTCCAAAGAAACGCACAGACAAATAGAAACCCATCCTTTGGTCGAATTCCTAATGCTGGGAACCCACAGGACAAATCCAGCAAGCCCAAAATCTGATTATTCGCAGGGATCTAGGCTGGGGTTAGCCCAACACATCCAAAACCTGTGGAATGTCAAGGCAAAAAGGACTCAAAAAAAAAGGCATAAAATTCAGTGCCAAAATATGAAATGAAAAGCCTCCCAATTGGCTTAGTCTGCACCATCAGTGTCAGATGCCTCAAGTTATTTGCTTTCTTTTTGGAGGGAGAAAATAACAAACATTGTTATGTTTTATCCGTGCTTAACTTAAGGTTCTTGATCTGATGGTACCTGGAAACCTCAGTGAAGGCACAAAGCCCTGTTGAGCTAAGTGCTTTTCAAACAGGAGATAATAAATTGATTTAGATGAAGATGTTATCAATTGATTTCACAAAAACCCTTCTCTTTTTTTTTTTTTTTTTTAAGAGCTGAATATTTACCAAGTTTTTTACTAAAGCATCTTTAAAATTTTCTTGCGTTTTCCCCTCTGTTTTGAGCAGCAAGTTCACCCCTCCCTTTGAAATTCTGGTGATGATTTAGCAATGAGCAACATTTCATAGATGCAAAAAGACAGCAGCAAATGAGGGAAAGGAGAATGATAAAAAATTTACCCCCAAAAAAGAGAAGTGTTAGCATAAACATCTCTTGTAAATATAAACACATGCCCATGGATTCAGTCACACACAAGCACAGAGTGCATCTCAGTGTACAAAATGTCCTTTTGACCTCCTGGGATGAAGTGTCCTCAGCAAGAATTACAATTATCATCAAAGGTTGATTAGCAAGTGTCAGATTGACAAGGAGTCATCAGCAAATATAAATATAGGTCCTGGAAGGAATAGAAAGCCTTTGTGGGAGCTGATAGTGTCTTCCAGCACTGAACCTTGATGTTCTACTGCTCCATGACTTTATTTTTACTCCAAGGATGTCAGAGAGAGGAGAACAGCTCAGTGGGATTTAATATCTGCTGTAAAACATATCCCTCAGAGTGTGACTGACCAGTTGTAACACCCCTGAGACAAGGACAACTCAGGGAAAAAAGTTGTGAGTTACTCCAGGGAGGATTTTTGGCATCGGAGACCCCCGAAATGTAGCAGGGGAATCATTTTCCTTTTAATGTGCTTACAGCTAAAGGATTGGCTTGCATTCAACTAATAGAAGTGTTAGTGCTCCGAGCCTGCATGCCTGGCATTCCTGCAGTAATACAATTCTGTATTAAAATCTATTCCAGTTGCTTGATTTATGAAAATGGTGCTGCACTCGTACCCAGCTCATTGGATCAAAAAGGGGGGGTGGAAAGCAAAAAAAAAAAGAGAATTTTTAAACAGAAAGAAAAAGCAAGAGAAAAAGAGAGGACACACTGTTGTTCCTATCTCAGAAGTGGAGCTTTAGTCCTTATAAAAGTTGCCTGTATCCAAAATGTGACAATTTTATTTCAGAAGGTGATGACGTTTTAAGAATTTGTTGCAACTTGTGGACAAAGCCGCGGTTGATTCCCTCTCCAGCATTCCCTGGATTTTGTAATATGTCAATACATCATGTTAATGCAAGTTTTTAAAAAAGGGGAAGAGAAAGCAAAAGCTCCCTTCCTTTTTAAGTATGAGTAATCTATCCAAATCCTACTGAGACACACAAAGGAACGCCGGCAATTTTCCCTTTCATAAAATGCGGACTTTCTTTAAATACTTCCTCCCTACATTTTCAAAGCGGGGCTGTATGAAATGAAGGGGAAATGACACCCTTCCCCATTGAAAAGGAGATTATGTAAAACTGCCTGGAGAAGCCAGCCGTGTTAATGCAAATACAAGTATGATCTTATTCATAAGTTGCCATTGTGCTGGCAGAACATGCCTCGGCTCCGTGTGTCCACCTCCAGCTCTGGGTGAAGAGGAAAACCCTTTTCTTTCAGGAGCTGCGCTGCCTCCGGTTTGCAAATAAATATGAAACCCCAAAGATCACTTTAAAGGAGTGGAGGGCTCGGTTTGCCATTGTGCCGAGCACTCGATGGCACTTGAAGTTAATGAGAGCAGCCAGCAGCCCTGACAACGAGGCAGGGAGAGGATTT